GTTGCACTTGAAACCCGCCGAGCAGCCCTTCTGGAACGCACCCGTGGCAGGGTTGAAGCACTCGCCACTCTTGGGACCGCGGCACTTGTGGGGATACTCCTCGTTGGGGCAGTACTGACCCGAAGGACACGAAGTGTAGCAGATGCCCTTGTCAAGGTGCACTCGAAGATGCACCTCGCTCTCTGAAGCCGTGGGGCTGGCCAGAAATGCAACAGCGGAGGTTAAGGCGATAAGAGCTGTCGAGAACTTCATTTCTTGGAGGCTGGAAGTGGATACTTGAGCTGGAGTGGGCGGATTCGGAAGTGAGGGAGTGAAGCGGCGTATCTTTGATGGAAATGGGTACATTTGAGACCTGAGTTCATGTTCACCAAAGACAATATCTTTTTGTGCACACAGCTATGGCAACAATTCATAGATTTCCATGGCGGCTACTTTGTTTCTTGCTCATACGGCTCAAAGTCTTGCCGAATAGACAGTTTTATCGTTGTTGAGCATATTTTGTACATCATCAGCATCACCTTCGCCGGCGTATATGGTCAGCGACTGAAAAGGGATCACCGGGCGTTTATGAGTGGGTGTTGCTGACTGTGGCATCCAGGTGGCAGGTTGTTGGTTATATTCGTGATTGTGATAATTTGTGTGGCGCTTTGTCTTCCACCCACTTTAATGACATCTTTACAAGATCAATAGCGGCCATTTCTTTCCACGACGGTGTTGAATTCCAAGACATAGCTAGAGACGCTCAAATTCCGTTCACTTGGGTTCACCGATTGCTTTTACAGAGCTCCGTGGTCGAACGAGACAGAAGCGGGAACATTCAACACTATGTTGGATTGGTTTCATCATTTTTTTTTTTTTTTCGAAATAAAAATTGATTATTTTAATAAATTGGTAGGGTTTACTCGGCTCCCTCGCGAGGATACTGGCGCTGGTCAAGCTGACATGGTGCTATCTTAGACGTTAGATAAGCAATGCTTGTTGAGGTCATCCTCTTCCTGTTCCAAGTAAATAATACATGTAGATTGCAACCAGTGCCTATAAGTAGATTACCACTGCAATAACCTTAATTACTATTCAAGATATTTATTATTATTATAGACATCAGAAATCGCTGGTAATGTGTTTGACAGTGAACACAAACTCTTTATACTCGCTCATCTTGTCTTAACCATATCGATGTGTATGAGTTGAGATTACATGTTGTACAAAATCTTAGAGATTGTTCGAGATGACCAAATCATGCGATTATCATACGATAGTTAAATTTCAGAGCTGGTGCAGTTGCCTCGGTAGCATAATCAAACCTGTCTAAAGTGATCTCTCTTTAAATGAGTATAGATATACTTATAGGCAGTCTAACATCGGCATCACCAGCCATTCCTGCAGCGGCTCGACCGCCGCTGCTAGTTACACTAATCTTGCTTCTTCTTTTGAACTCCTCTCTGCTTTCTTCTACGCTACTCGCCATAAGAGCAAAAGTGCACCGGTGAACACGATTACATGAGAATCTCATTTTTTTTCACGTAAAAATTGTATCTTGACGGTAGTTTTAAAATGCAGGGGCCAGCCTGTATTTATCCAGCAACTTTTCTCTCTGGTTCACTAAAATGAAGATGCTAAAACTTACGTATGCCAGTAGAAACTGTTGTTTCCCCTCCCCTGATTGACATCGGATCTTTCTCTTCATTCCCAGTTTTCCAGTCAAGTAGCAAAACCGCATCAGGTTGTCGACTCTTGGTACAATAATGCTCATCGCTGCTGATTGTGCCAACCCCGGAAGCGGAGCTGTGAGAGCTTCCTGGAATGAGATGGAAGAGTTGATCTGCTAGAAAAGCATCTGAATGCACGAAACAGTCGCTCTCTTACTACGGATAAAAAGATCAAGCCAAAGGCTTGATGCGCGATCGTGTAGACTCTCAACACCAATCATCATTGGACGCTGGGCAAAGGTAAATACGGAAGCATACATGAACTGCTCTATATGGATACTAACACTCCCCGGGGGATTGTGTGCTTGTTCATTGACATGCAAAGGACAAAATAGATTCAAGTATACTCGCATCAGGCAAGACTACGATCTTTTCAAGTACATCACTGGCCTGAGT